TTAACATACATACATATATACATTCATACATACATACATACACACATACATACATAATATATACAATTACACACACATACATACACGCACACACAAAACATACAAATAAACATACATACATATATACAGATATTTGTATGTAAGTAGGTACGCTTCAACATCAGCAATATTTTACGCAGTCATAGAAACAAGTGCGACAATGAATCAAGCAATCAACCAGCTTAAAACCGTTGCTATTTGTATTGGTAACTATAATTTATCATAATTTTTAATATAATTAATAAATAATGTTAATATGAAACACACAGACAAACGACTGAATACATACAAACACATTCACACAAACATTCACACATATACGTAAATAACACAGAGAAGTAAGAAAAAGAAAGAAGGAGAGAGAGAGAGAAGAAGAGAGAAAGAAAAAGAAAAAAAGCGAGAGAAAAAGAAAGAGAGAAAAAAAGAGAGAAACACGCATATATCACAACATATATCAAAGGCAAATCTGGGTTTTCAAACTTTTTTCGCACACTAAAGCAAACAAAACACACGCACACACACCACACACACACAAACATACACACAAACAAAAAAAGTTTTTGATCTACCTTGAAAGAATTGAAAAATTTAAGTAAAATCAGACACGATGAAGTCATGGTAACTGTGATAAGGCTCATAGCGAGCTCATGAAGCTAGCCACTTGAGCCCAAAATGCAAAGAGCGAATCGAACGTGCTTACGTAAGGATATTTTAACGCATCTAGGCATTTAAAGGACAAATTTGATGTAATGTGCTTACTTTTAAATTTAGATTTTCTAAATGTAGTTTTAGTTTAAATACTGCTACTAAATTACTCAATTACTACTGCTGTTACAGCTACCATAAGTTATTAGATTTATATTCATTATAGATTAAATAATAGTGTGAACGATTCTGTTTTGCTTTGTAAGCCTTTTCACGTAGTAATTAAGTTATCAATTGAGTTAATTAAATGTTTGTAGTACTAGTGACAGTTAATATTGAGGTAAATTTTCACGTAGTAATTAAGTTATCAATTGAGTTAATTAAATGTTTGTAGTACTAGTGACAGTTAATATTGAGGTAAATTTACACACACTCACATTTTAAAGTAAATTTACACATTTTACTGATTTTACTGG